TGTTGAAGAAAGTTTAGAATTATTTGAATAGTTTGTTTAATTTCATAGTAATGCTGTGCTCCGGGTCCCGGCCAGTCGGTCGTTCTACAGATCACACAGATGGCGAAGGCGGTTAAAAGCGTTCTTTCAACAAATGAAGGGCTACGGGCATTGGAAAACACAATTCTGTGTAGGACTAGAATTTGGGTAGTGGTTGGGAGGAATATAAAGAAGATATTTGGTATAGTATGCCATTTTTAGTGGTATGTTGGGTTTTTGGGTCTGTTTTCGTTTTGGTCGTTTGGTAGGGACTCATCGTATAAATTCTTTGACTTGTTACTTGGTGTATTGCTTGAAGCATTTTTTGGTAGGCGGTGGGGTAGCAGGCTTTTTTTGATGAGCAGTTTTGGGGGAGAATAACCAGTTTTTTCAACCTTTGTGATAGTTGCGTTTTGGAAGGTTGTTTCATGGACATCGGCCTCGGCGGCGGAGGGTGTGGGGGGGGGTCGTATTTCAAATTTTCCTCGGACGCTTGTGCGCTTGACCCTGAAGTGCGCTACCGGTTATACGCTGCGGGGCACCATTTCGTTCAACTCAGCTTTTTGGTATGCGGTACATAGGGCTTTCGCACTCACACGTCTAACGTGTTGGAGCGGTTAGCGATTTCATATATGAAAACCTGAGTTGGTATGAAATGGTGCCCCGGTAGCGTAAAACTGGTAGCGCACTTGCCCGGAAAGCGGGAGGTGCGGGTTCTAGTCCCGCCTGGGCCGAAGTTTTGTTCACAACCCAGCATTCTTGTGAAACATTCGCAACGCGAACTGCGGCGTCAAAACAGCAGTTAACAAACAAAACAAGTTTTAATTAGAATACAATCAGGGAAATAGTACCAAAACCCCGACCTTGGGGGTTGTACCTGTGACCACGTACTCGACACGATTTTCATCCTGGATGCAGTGCCACTAATCATAAAAAACTTTTCAGGGTGCAGAAGGTTGTTGCAGATAACGGTACATGCCCCCTTTCAGCCCTGAATTTTTTTCCGTGAAGAATCTCTTTTCTAAGCTAGTGTTTGTCACTTGTGAGCGCACAAATACTATTATAGCGGAATTGGAAGCCATCCGACCACAGTTCGTACGACTTACCCTCCCCTACCTGTCGGGAAATCCTCAATACTCGTTTGACCTTCTCCTTGGTGCGATCTACACCGATGTGCAAAACATAAGGAAGGAGTGGATACATGGCATAAATTATCAATAACAAGACCGAACTGGATGAAACTATGGGGGTATGATGCGAAAGGTCTTGCGGTCGTGCACAACAAAGTGGGCCTCATATGTCGCACGGGCCGCTTAAACCTGGCGTCAAAAGGAATTGGCCAAGCAGAACGAGGACTCTGGTAGAACAGAACAAGAGGGAGTGCAGTGACAAGGGAGAAGTTATGTAGTGGTGTTTCTGATAACAGCAAGTCTCGGAGACAGCTCTCATGACTTCACGCGAGTAAGAATCACTGGGGAACAGGAAGGAGGATGTGTTACGGGTGTGGCCCAGGAGTAGGTGTTGCTCACAGCATTGTTTTATGAGCACGCAGAGCGATATGGACCACATCCACTGCTGCTTATAGAGATGATGGTGGATAACGAGCAACCGCGAGCAGGTGATTTGCAACAAGCAAGAATGGGCCCACATCAGTCATAGGCTGCAGTTACAAAAACATTTATCAGTATCGTAGGGCACGTAATCCCAGGTCGAACAGTTGCATAGCGACCGCATAAGGATGGTCTATCTGGTCTACCAACAGTAGTTCCTCTGGAACCCGCTTATCGGCGGGAATATTTGCTAGGCAGCGGGACATTGGAGACCACCAATTCGGAGGGACGCGTGCTTCTCCCAGTTTAGAGCAAATTGAGTGTGGGTAGTGATACAAGACTTACCCACATATGGCGAGAATAAAAGCATATAATGCACCCAGAGCCATCGGTAAACATGATTGTTTTGATAGTCCATTTGATATGGTGTTCGGAGGCATAACGTTGCAGGGGCGTACCGACCTCCCAACTCGTGATCGCACAATGCTTTCTAATCGGCGTCGCTGTTTTCCTTTCATATGTGTATCTTTTCAGCAGCGCGTTTGATCGCATTTTCACTAGATGAAAAACAATGTGAGAGCACATCGAGCAGCCTAGGTGGAAAACTCTAGGAACGCTAGGATCATTGGCGATTGGTTTGGCCTGTCCGCTTCCCCCACTCAATTCCTATGGAGCACGTGTGGTATGCATCCGGATGAGCTACCGTAGCATAACGCCCAGCAATTGTCAATCGGGATGTTCGGGGGACGGAGCTTCTCCACAAGAATTCCTGAACAACATTGGCCGTTATGGAGGCACCTTGCACACTTTGCTTTGCAGTCCTTAGCCTTCACACACATTAATAACCACCTTCTCTCTTCTGAAGGTCCACTATGAGGTAGCTTCACCCATCAACCGCTTCAGTTACCGTCTCTGCAGCAAAATGTCATTTTCAATTGCCCCATTGCGTGTTTCTATCAGTAACCCTTTGCACTACTTCCATCCTTAAGTTCTGCACATCAGTGTAATAGTAAGAGGCACAGATGAGCAGGAAATAGGCACCGATTAGTGCCAACGACAAGAATGAACGTCAATTCGTACTTTATACACAAGCTTACAGGAATTCGGTGGGAATCAATCGTGGCGCCACGCTATAAATTGATGTCACATTCGTAATCAGTACCCCAAATAATCCCCAAACACAAGTTTAGAGCAAATTCGGTGAAAATAAGTTGTGACGCCTGTTGGCGTCAATTTGGCGCCGGCTCCAAAAAGGAACCTTATTTCCGTGATCAGCACCCTCGATAACCTCCGTGGGAGAAGTTTCAGCGAAAAACATATTTTGACCAATCTTCCCCACAGGGGTGTAGGCGTTAGAATGACGAATTTGGTCGCAACATTTACGAATTTGGTTGCAATGTCGACGAAATTGGTTGCGACGGTTAGGAATTTAGCTGCAACGTTTACGAATTGGGGTGGAAAACCCTGTATGTGTATAGCATGTCTCGAATTCTGATTGGGCATGTCACTGGAAATCACTTGGCAGCCACCGCACTTGATAGATGTCGTGTGGATAAGATACTCCGTTGGATATCAGCAAAGTGTGTTGGAAGCGCTTATCCGCACAACTTCTACCAAGTGCGGTGGCTGCCACGTCATTTCCGGTGACACGCCAAATCAGACTTCGAGATGTAGACTGTGTGTGCTAATGGACCTACCCTTGCCTTCAAATGACCAGAAATTGTGCAATTGCAAAAATTGACGTCGCATTGACGTGGCATCAATTCAAGAACATCTTTGAGCACACGTGACGTCACCTTATCATCGAGAATTTAGCCACGTGTGCCACGTGGATTTCTGGCTGAATGGAACACAGAGTGTAGCTGAAGTCTCATGATGGATAACGACCGAAAACTGTCTTGATGCACGCAGCTTAATAGCTACGTTACAACCATCAAAATCGCATTGCACAGAAGAGCTAAACAATAATAACATCGCGGTTCCAGCAACATGAAGACAATTCTGCACCTTCGTTTTGAAAGGGTAAAAGTGCGAATGTTCCAAAGAATGTCCATAAAACAAATGGTCGCACCATTTCAAAAAAGACCACTGTCATAATGAATACCTTCAGGTTTTCTTGCTGTAACTCGGTTTTTTTGGAACTCTGATTTAATTATTGTATGGTTGGGGCCTAAGGATCCCTCTTTTGATTTTTCTTGGAAGCCATTAAAAAAACTTCTCCCAATCACAATTATGCCTGACCGAAGACAATAACCTGAATTTCTCCAAATCAGTCTACAATTCCTATTATTAACAGAAAACATTAACAGCGGGACATAAATGGGAAACACGATTCCCTATCTGTTTATCGAAATCTTACAGCAGCTGAATCTATAGTGGTAAATCTCTAGTGAGATTACCCTTGAAATAGCAAAAAAAGCAAGTGATATATGTATTGAGGAGTACTATCCCGATAAGAACAAAATCATCATAGAGTGGCAGAGCTAAATGTTCACAAGACCGTGGCCGCCCGTTAGGCGGTCGGCTGTGCATGACCGCGACCCTAACATTAGGGAACGCGGTGAAATCACAGATAAATCGACGAACACTCCGTCAACAGCAACAAACTGACAACGAGCCCCAAATCCTTAAAAAGCGCATGATTTATGGAAGAACGGTAGTAGAGGGGGCATATGAGATGAATCAAACCAATGACGACACCGATGACGAAAAAGCATTTCCTCATCACCGCCACGAATGTTGCCAATGCGATACAGAAACACGCACATTCGTGAAATAGCACTCAACCAGCAATCGAGTAATACGCAGAATTTTTAACTCCTCGCCATTAAGAAGGCGAGCGCTATTAGTATCACAAGTACACATGAACTCGGTTAGTTCGCAATTGCGGGGTTGATGATGACAATGACGAAGACAAATATAAAAACACACATCACGATGAGTAGACAAACATCGTAGAACTCCATCAAAAGCGACGAGTGCACGATGATGCAATTAAATATAGAGTAAAATAACGAAAACTGACCTGATCAAACTACTTAGTTACAAACAATTCCACTAAACAATTCATAGACTAAACGAGTAGTCGGTAGCGACAGAGGATGAAGTAAATGGCGGTGTCTTTCCACCGCAATAAAAAAAATCACTAGTTTCTGCCCAATTTGAAAGCCGGCTAAATGTCCATAGCAAGAGAATCTAGCACCGAACGTGGATAAGGAGAACGTTGGATGACGATTACTTACACTGACTATTAATTTCATGACACTAAATTCACAACAGTGAAGAAAGGAAACCATGAAATTAGTTGAATCGTAACAGACGGTATGTGAAGGAAAGAAGGTAATGTCCACCGAAATCGCGATAGAAGATCATCGAAGAGAACGATTGCATAGACGCATTCCATCGATCTGTGTGAAAACCAATACTCGGCTTCTACAGATTGAGCTCCTGTGCAATTTTGGACGCGATATTCTTGAACCCGATAGAAGTTCCCGAGATTCTCTTGAAACGCACTCCATTCAGGCTGAGGCGAGGGAGCTTGCAAACCTGTAACAACAGCAACGATCCTATGGAGAAAATAAAGCAGGCTCTGATGAGACAACTAGTCTGCCTTGTCATTTGCACTTGCATTTTGACCGCAGCACAGGATAGTGACCACAAAGAAAGCACAAAAAAACGACAAAACGTATTTGCCTTCGCTCATCAGATTAAAATTCGACCAAAGCCCCCTAAGATACTCGACTGTAGGTACCCTTACTAACCTCCATCTCCCATTGTACCAAAGAATCCGCATTAGGATCGCCATGTACGCAAAGTATAAGGTATCGTTCGCGCTGCTCGTAGTCGCAATTGTTGGCATCAAGCACCTTACGGATTTCCCTGAACATTTCAATCCAAACAATCGATTTCATTTCAGCTTTTCAACAAATCAATGTCAAAAAAGTCAATAAAGAATGGCGAAAATAGGCAAACGAACCTCATCATTTCGTCAGGCGCTAGACTGCTTGTTGTCTTCATACTCCATGTGAACCGTAAACTACGAGGTTTAATTTCGTCCTCCCGCATAGACTGAGGAGTGGTTGTACCAGACGGAGCAACGGCATGACCTTCGCGTATCTGCGTCAAAGCGCTCGCTATTGGTGCTCCTCCGCTCGATCCAACAGTTCCAGCTCGTGAGGGTGGCTGCCCGCCGGCTGTTGAAGGAATTCCGGCTTCAGCAGGTCCCCTGCGAACGGCAGAATATGGTGGTGGCAGGCCAGATCCGCTATCACAGTGGTGTCCTCCGGTGACCACTGACGGGCTGTAATCCGATGAACGATGGCGGTGAGCTGCTGAGTCGGGAGATGCCCCCGTCATCGATACAGAGTGGTGCAATGGACGACGGGGGGCCGCCGAAGCGACATTGGGCGTCATAGCAATCACACCTGCAGGCGATGCCGTGCTGCTACTGCAACGAGGGTACATGCGGGATAGATAAAGTATGGCATGGGCTTGAGGGAGAGTGCTACGAAAGCAAATGAGCAAAATAAACTCGGTGCGCATGGACGTGCATTCTGAAATGTAAAGGCACGGCCGTAGATCACAAAGTTTTAGGCTGTTTTCATAGTTCGCGCCGGTGCGGTCGGTGCAGTCGGTGCCGACGGCGCCGACCGCACCGACAGTGCGAAGAGCATCATCATGCGCTCTGGCGTATGACGCGTACGTTTGGCGCAGATCGAGCGCTTCGATCGATAATCCTGGTTTTGGTGAATACCCTTTCTTTTTCGATGTTTTTTTTTGCGCCGTGTTGCTTTTATTCGTGTGTTATCTGCTCATACTTATTCTTTTATGTCTCGTTTCATGCTTTTCCGTTGTTCTCTCGTTTCATACTTTTCCGTTGTTCCGCAGACGAGCGACTTCGTAGAACCCCGTCGTACTACCCCGGGTGAAAGTGGCTATACCGGGTGAGTTCATCATAAGCAATTTTGTTTATTCGAGTGGACTTTATAATTTTAGAAGTTGTTTTTTCTTCGATACGAGGATGTTGGTAATTTAATTGTTCGCACACCAGCAAGAAATCGTACCGAAGAGGAAGCGAATACTGGAAACATACAGTTCACTCGTCACAAAATTGCTCATGATGAACTCACAGGGTCTTGAAGCCACATTCGCACGGGCTTATACGACGTCGCTCGTCCGCGGAACAACTGAAAACATTCATCAAGACATAAAAGAATAGGTATGAACAGAAAACACACTAATAAATGGAAGAATTCGCAGAAAATATCATAAAGACAAGAAGTACACCAAACCCAAGATTATCGATCGGAGCGCGCCATCTGCGCCCAACGTACGCGTCATGCGCCAGAGCGCGTATTGACGCTCTTCGCACTATCGGTGTGGTCGGCGCGTCGGGCACCGACTGCACTGACCGCACCGGCGCGAACTATGAAAGCAGCCTTACTGGGCCGAAAACATCACATTCCTCTACACACAAAAAATACGCCAGTGTCATGGAAAGCAAAAATTATGGACTAGCGCCCAGAGATTGTTATTTCTGGAGTTCATCACGAAAGACACTACGTACTTCTAACTACCGCTGAGCAAAAAAAAATGTTGTGCATAGCAACTCTACTGACATCGACATACAGCTGGAGAATTGAAGACGCGTGTCTCAGGTTATACGAAGCTGCAGGACCAAAGTGCGTGGTATTAGACCTTCAATGAGCACTATGAGCATTTCACCGCCACCATCGTTATTTTCCCGTCAGTGATAACCTGGAGCCAGAATCGACATCAAATACGCTAACCATGTAGTAAACGCTAATGTACTATAATTCGCGAATTTATGTATATTTGCTACGGACAATTCCACAAACCTCTAAAGCAACGTGTACTAGCCCATGCAAATTTGTATTGTAAGAGTAATTGAACACCACTTACGAAAGCACCACTCCTCAAAATCACAACAAAAACAACAAAAAACACTACAATTACCCAGGTTGATAGCGTAAATCTTGAAAGGAAATTTAAGAATTTGATTACTCTGCCCTTTGAAGTGTTTTGCGCTCGAGAAAAGAGGAAGCAACTTTCAGAGGGGTCAATCAATAAATGGCGTTCGAAACTATCGGGCTTAAACAAAGACTGCAGGTTGCACGTTAAGAAGTGTAGGTACTCTCTCGGCGATGCAGAAGACAGTTTCTTGTTAGTAAGAAAACGTGTTAATGGAAATGCTCATGCTCTTAGAAGTGATTTGAGACTCTAAATTGAAACGGCAGATAAATCTCCACCAAAAGTTTCACCGTTGCATAAATTCTAAGAGTAAGGAGAAAAAGCTCATGCTCACAAAACAAGAAGTAAACGGCACTCGCAAACACTAAACGACGAGAACGCTCTCAAACGTACCGTCGTGTGAGTTTCGTAAGCTTTGAGAGAAAGAATCCTCCCTTTTGACCATTACCCATTGATTGACCGGCGGAAGCTTGTTCACCCTCGGACTCTTCATCCTCACCATTCACCTACACATAAAATTATCAGAGGAATTATGCTGAATTATACGCATATTAAGGAGAAAAAACGCTGGCAAAGTAGAAAAAACTTGAACACACATTACAGAGAACCCAGTGCCTAATGATCTCGTTTGCGTTTAAGATAGCAAAGTACAAGAAATGCGCAGTTTGAATGAGTTCCCTCGAAGGACTATCTCCGTTTCTAAGCTGTAAAGTTTTTAAATCGGAATTTCTTCAAAAAAAAGAAAATCTAAGTGTTACTTCATTGAATTTACGGGCGCTTCTCCTTCGGCTTCATTGAAATCCAAAGAAATGCGGTTGCATGTGAGAGGGAAAAACACGACGGTAAATGACAGCAGGCACATGAAATACGCCACAGAAGCGACGAATTACACTCCATCAAACAAATGCGACTATGTAACTTTTGGTTACCCCACAGCTGTATTGTTAAGGAAAGTGAATGCGTCCATCACATGCTGTGCGTCCCTGTTTAACATTACCTTGTTATAGTCGGTCTTTCCATGAAATGTCTGTCGATTCCGAGTGTTTCGCGGGAACGCGGTAGCGCTGGCACCGGTGGCGGCTGCTGCAGCGGTAGTGGTAGTTGTCCCTGACACAGTGCTACCGCGTTGTTCTGGCACCACCGACGTCTGGAGTGCTGAGGAGGGCGCATATGTCTGAATACTGCACAAATACGCCAAGGAAAGGAGAACAACGAAAGAGAATAACACAATATTGGATGTGGCACTGTCACTCGCTCGAACTGCTCAGAGTGAGCACCCAACAACAGGAAAAGCAGGAAAACCGTCACTTTTCTAATGAGAATTCCGAATAAGGCTTAGCTATATTAACAGACAACTGCTCACGAGAATTTCTTCATATTTTCATCATATAAAGATCACAGTAGCACTGAACACGAGCCAACACACACTTATACATGGCCGCATGCCCACCACGATTCGAAAAAAAGTTTCTCAAGACGATATTATTACGTACAAGTCTTGCAACGGGGAAACACGCTACTGAGCTAGTCATATTGTTTTTGAACTGATGAACTCTATGCAGCATCAATTCAGAAATTACCCAATGAGTGAAAAGAGAAAAGCAAGCGCGATACCAGCATTGCACTTTTAGCATCCCAAGGGCTAAAGAATAACCGATTAAGCCGGGGATCTTATATAGAACCAGAGCTAATCAAAAACTGCAAAGATCACCACCACAGATAAATAAATGGAAAATTCAAAGCATAACTGCATGCGTTTAAGTGAAAAGCGAAACGCGTAACTCACAGCGCTCATGAAGGCTTTGCCTCGAAATCCAGCCCTCTTCATATACTAGAACATTTCCACTCAAAAGGGTTAAGAAACTACAAATGCGGAAAGTATCTAGAATTCTGTGCAAGTGCTCTATCCAGTTTACTACTTTTCCCTTCAGAAGGCTGACACAAGAAATATAGGTATAGTATCTACTCGATTCGAATGTGCTAAATAAAGACAGAACTGTGGACTGAGTTCACAGTTTTCATCACATTAGATTCCAAGGCAAATACCAGCTAACCTGAGATGGAGCTGATACTGGAGGAAGACCAGCGGAAGGTGGAGGAGTAGCGACTAGAGGGTTACCGGTTGCTGACTTGGTCATTTTCGGAGAGTCCCGTTCTCCTGTCGCAGAGGCTGAGCCACGAACGGTCAACTCTCCCATGGCTTTCAACATCGTCGGTGGCATCGATGGGCTTTGATGGATCAGCGATGGCCTGAAACGGTCGTAGATAAAGATATCAGCCCTCCACTTCACCCCTTTCTCGAATCAATATCACATCTCAGTCAATATCAGTCATTAAAAACTCGTTCGACATAGAGATGCTAGACAGCTACTAAGGGAGTGCTGAAAAAAACCTGATTTGAAGACGATCACATCACAACATGCACCAGCAATACATCCGAATAATAAGGGAGAAAAAGAAAGGAATGAATATGGAAAGACTAAGCACCATTCGAAATGAGGTCGTCCGTTTGAAATATGGCGGTATGTTAGTTGATGCACCTTCGTCAGTGGCGTCTCGCTGGGGAGTTAGGTGTGATGTTGCCTGAGCAGTGGTTGTCGGTGAAGCATCGTCGCACTTGTAAGGCATCATTAGCGCAAAAGATGAATCCTTCTCGGTGATGTGAAGGTTAGTAAGTAGTGTGACCCAAGAATCATGGCTGCACGGCACCAATTCACAGATCGTCGTACACAGGCGCGGTAGATGAATGCTGTTAACAAAGTAGAACTCAAGATGTGAGGTGATGGCGACGGAAGAACAGCAGAGGAATACAAAGACCATGATGGGGCTCAAGTTACGCGCCTTTTTTGATTCGTAATTCGGAAGAGTAAGTCAATATGTCACCAAGAACTAATCTCAATGCTCAGTGGTGAAAAAATGCAGGAATCACGCATCAATGAGCCGTCAAAGCTCAACAAAGCATGGCTCACTTTACTAATCTATTGCTACTTACAGGCTTTCCAATCATTGAGAAAGTTATAGACTATCTGCTAAGGCTATGGATGTTTAGAGATCAAACCGATCCGTTTTACTGGAAGCTACAGCACTGAAGTAGACAGGAAATGAGACCTAGTAGTTTTGTTCGTGCAACGTAGAAAAAAATAGTCGGACAGCAACCTTGCACGAGAACCCATCGGAGTAATTTCTGAGTGTCGAAAGGTTTTCCACGATGATTCCATTTTCTCTTCTCAAAATGATTTTGTTGTTCACTATAAATCCTCAACTCTTTCTTACTGCTACTACTCATGAGTACGAACGAGATCAACACTTATCGAGTTTTTTCCCTATCAAAAAGACACAAGTATGGCGAAGGATCTCGAAAACAATGGGAACAGAATCAACAGCCCGTCACCGATCTAGTGGAGGATCGTATTTGCGATTTTCGAATAGGTGAATGGTGAAGGCGCTCGGAAATGGAAGGGGTTATGGCTGCGGGAAGCGGGTGCTGTTCCTTTTTTATATTTCAATTTTGGTTGAAAGAATCACGAAAGAGGGCCTGAAATATGCAAAAATGGATACGCCTTTTTTAGGCGAAGTCAGAGCGTGTCGTGGTCTGTGTATTCAACCCTACAATTTCTACTGGAAGCTAAGGCTGGAAGCAGCACAAGCTATAGCAACCACGATGGTGAGTGTGGGAATGGAGTTGGTGGGAGGCCGTGTTCGTGGGTGACCCCTCGTGTGGTGGTTTCGGAAATCGTTTGAAGACCCCCAAAAAGAGCCCCCAAAAGGGGTAGCAGTTGTTCAAAAAAAAGTTCAAATCGGCTACGGTTGGCCCTGATGGGAAAGCTCGTTCGCGACGCTCTCTCTGACTACATGAAATGACAATCATGGGAGCAGAAAAAGGTCGGCATAGATTGCTTGCAGTTGGAACGTCCAGCTAAGATATTATAGATGCAGTCATCAAATTTTTATGCGGCGAAATATTGGCATTTTTGAAACTTCGGCAATTGAGGATTACGACGCGCCGATTTCTCTGACTACAAGAAATCACAATCATGGGAGCAGAAAACGGTTGGCATAGATTGCTTAAAACTCCGGCTGAGATATTATAGATAAGGTCATTTAACCCATAACACAGGCTTACTATCAGAAAAGAAGAGCTTTCCTGTGAGAGATTACCACTGCTGTTAGAACAGCTCTATTATTTTTAGAAAATTGGCTATGCGAAGGGGCACAGCATGCTCAAATCCTACAATACTGGGAACCTAGCCTGTGCATGTCGCCAGCTCATGTTCTTGCAAGTCTACAGAAATAGTTCCACAACATCATACAACTCACTTGTGCTCCCTTTCGGGTGTGACGGAAATTGAAGGTTTGGATTCAGCAGCTCCTTCGTCAACTGGTGGGAGAGGACTCTACAATTGCATGATAGTGATTACGGGGCACTCCTCGAAAATTGCTTAAAATTACCTGCGCCAGAGGCGCACCCCCAATAATAGGCAAGTGGGTGATCGTTGCAACACCATTGGATCCACCAGCTGAGGACTCGCTGCTTTCATCTTCATCCTCCTTTATGACTGGTTCAGTAGGCGTATGTGAAATCTGCGATCCCGATTTCTGCAGATCGAGAATATTTAAAAAAGTGATCACATACATATAACTCAAGCCTTATCACTCACTTGCAAAGGCAAGGGAATTTGAGCGATTGCAGCAGGAGTTTTCAAAGAAGGAGCACCCGAATTCGTTCCAGAGCCATTGCCTGTGGTGTACAGTTTACCAACAAGGGAAGCGGATGCAGGCACTTGATAGGTGGTTGAGATTCCAGTTGGGTGCGCGGTTCGTGCAGATGAAGAACCACTGAAACATATGACTATTACCCGTAAGTGCACGTTCAACTATTCTGAACACCTACTCTGCCCTCTGACCAGCCGCTCGGACCCCCAAATTAATCGGGACTCGTCCTTTCGGATCACTCGATTTTCGTGAGCCCGATGTAACAGTGGATGAGGTCCCGCCACGAGTAAACGAAGCCAAGTAGTCTCTGTGCCCTTCGCTGGTACCTGAATTGGCATGTTATTATGCTTAACCGCTTCCCTCCAAACTCAGTTAAAGACGCAACAAAAAAAACAAACCGCTTTGATATGAAGCAGGAACCATACTCATGGCAGTGTGTCGCGATGTTGGCTGCTGACGCATTTGTACCTGATCAAACAGCCGTACCGGATACTAGATATCAACTCAAGTGAATACTCTAACAAACCCAGACGGCACTTACCTGCGCACGAGCAGACGACGATGAGGGGGCTTGTGGAGGTGGTTGTTGGCTGCTTATCCCAGCAGCGTCATTTTGGCTGCTTCGCCGAGACGACTGCTTCGGCAAAGGGGTCGTGTTGACAGAAGTGCCCGCCGCGGTGGCCGTTTGAGCTGACGACGTTCTCCCGTACTTTGACGGCTGCAATAGATTTGAATATAAAGATTTTGGTCACACTTCGCCTTTTGTTTGCCAGGCTTTTCAAAAGAAAGTTTTCTATTTCACAGATTGCCAAAACAACACCACCGGGTGCGCTGCTTCGTGAATAAAAAGTTACTGCATAAAAAGTAATTACTACAATATCGAAGCATCGGAACTAATAATCTGTGCCTACGCAAACTAATGTTCCTCCCTCTCAATTGACCGTTTCTTTGGTTGCATGCAGTTTCGACGAGTGCTAAATATACAATGTGGAAGACAGTTAACTAGGGAAGAATAAAAATTGCAATCTGTTTCCAAAGGCCTCTTGCGACAAATTCGGGGTTTCTTGATAATGGTCGTCCATCTTGAAGCTCGTCATCCTTTTAGACAAAGCTGCCTGTTCCCGCGGTTCAGAGCCGTTTTTGTGAACCATTGCATTCCGGAACCACAGAGTAATTCCACACACCGGCACTTAGCGGAAGAAAACTTCAAATCAGTTGATTACGCGTCATAGGCGCTCTAATTTTTATCTTGAGTATCGGGATGCAAGAAAGCCACCGCAAATTCCATTTTCATCAGTCCTTGAATGATTTACACCATCACTGGAATCGCAATTTGCTATCACCGCTGTTCCCCACCACTCATTTGACCTCTTCCATATTTTTTCGGTTTTTCAAGTTAATCTTTTCACTCTACATAACTATATTTTAACTGTTACGAACGAGAAAATCTCGATCCAAAGGAAAAAACATGATACGGAAAGAAGATTGAAGAGCGAAATAAGCGGCACAGGGCTAATGCCACAGCGATAGCGCTAACGCGAAAAGTGCAGCGTGAATGGAAAGCACGGAATGTGCGAAGTAGCTACACTGAGTGGGACTTGTCTTATAGGTCGTACTAATCTGGTTGGCATATTTTGCGCATTCCCAGAAGAAGTAATAATGAAGGCAGCCTGATACAAATCGCTGAATTTGCAGTTCAAATGCTCGACATGGACGCCGTATATGGAGCAAGTATTATCACATGCATAAGTGCACCAAAATAATTGCGCATTCGCGAGCGCCACAGTTAGATAGGCAAAATCAACATTTAAGAGCTCAAGTAGAGGGGCCATTCAAAAAATACCCCAACACTTTCTGAAAGACTTGTGTGCATATTCATTTCTATGGCAGTTGAGAATACTGAGAAACGAACCCTTTCTAATCTGTTAAATTCATTATCCCACCCATCAGCTAACACTACTGCCTACATGCCTCAAACATCCTCGTAGACAGGTCATTAATTTCCAAACTTTCCAAATGAGATGAAGGCACTCCGTACGCTGTATCTGGCTTTAACTTGCTCCTGTCCTAATGCTAATATTCGAGTTTGAATCTTGCTGCAATCGGTTCCGTCAGAACGGACTAAGTGATACCGTTCTTGAGATTTATCAATTCAAATAAATGAATAAGCAGACGACTTTTTTTTCGAAGTTTCTTATTTTTATCGGTGCTTAAGTTTTTATATGAATAACCCACTTTTCCTACAACGGTTGAAGTGCTAATAATAAATAAGAAATATGAAATACGATGAACTGACACTGACTTTAAAAAAATCCCTATAAAAAAGGTAATATTGTTCTCTGATGAGCTTGCAAATCCATGCACTACTAGGAGAAACAAAGAAAGTTGGTAAATTCACATGCACCCATCAGAACATGTAACAAGTTCATGCACCTTGCTACACACGAACCACCACACTTGTTGGACCGAGTATCAATATCTCACCGACTGAGTCGTGGTGGCCGCCGCAGCGTTATTGGAACCAACACCATGGGAGCCAATACCCGACGAGACGTTGTGCGTCGAATGTGTGACTGCCTGTTGAGCCAGAGCCAAGTCACCAGCGTCCATCTGCAGCTCACATTCAAAACACCGAGTAAACACATACATGAGGTAATAACAGACGTGACTCAAATCGCTGTCAAGCTCTATCTTAACGCGTGCACCTTAGAGGGTAATAAACAAGCTTCTCGAAGATGTTTCTTCGACTCCGAATTAGTATAATACATGGTAATCTAAGTAAAAAGAAAGTATTGGGTTGAAGCACAATATCGTAGCGTTTTTTCTGCTCGAGTTACAAATTCAGAGTACAAATGCTACCCAGGAAATCACATATGTCATTTGAAAGTACTTCTTCCGCTCTACAATACCTTGTTTGTCATTTTCCTCTATATTGTAAACGTACTCAGATATGGCGCTCAGAAGTTGGAAAATCAAGGTAGGCCAAATCTATGTAAAGGAAAGCTGCCAAAATAGGAATTTTTAAAAATTCATCTTTATCATCGGATCTTACACCAGTCGACGCTCAGTTTCAAACCATTCACATCGTACAAATTGAAAAAAAAATGAAACAGGCTGAGTGCCCCTTTTTTAAATTCTGATTACGGCAATTTCTAACAGAATAGAATCGAAGTCGTAAGGAATGACGAAAGGAACATTATCGATTAGTATTGTGCTTGGCTCTGCCCTTGGGTTTTGCTTTAAACATTTCTGCCGAATGCGAGCTCTACGATATTATGCTCCAACCGATAAAATAGTTGCCGCGTTGAATATAACGCATCAAAGGAAGCGATTACGATAAGGAATTGTCGCATCGGGGAGAACCTGCGCCACACGGAGCAATTACTTGGCTGCCAAGGAAGTGAGGTGTGGCCCTCCCACGGCGGAAGGTGCTGTGGTTGCTGAGCAGGACCCGCGTGACGCCCCGCCTCGAGTGACGTGACGCCCACTACCTCTGCTGATGATCTGGACTGTTTGCTGTTGACTTTTCATTTTGAATGATGATTTCCCTTTTAGCGGCTGTATCTTCCAACTTGCCCACGCATTGCCTTATCAATCAAAACACTATGCTTGTTGGCATGATGGCGGCTATCGGGGTTAACACGTCCAAGCAACGTCGTTCATACATGATCGAAAATGAAAGGGCAATGAAAGGGGTACCATTTTGCTTATTTTTGACGAATTTCTTTGCTTTTTACGCCATTGGCGTACTATTGAGACCCTCGCGTCCCCTCTAAACCTTTGTGAGATCTATCGTAATCGCTGCCTTTAACTTCGAGCAAATCTATCGACTACAGGAAATACAACATTGCGCAATGTTAGTGACAGTGGTAAGACTGTAAATGCAAGTTGTAGCAGAATGCTGTTAGCTTGAATACAATTTGTGCACTTCAGTTTGCCAATGGTCTCACCTCGCATTTCCGTTCACCAAGTAAGAGGTAGGTAGCGTGTATGTCCTCGAACTTCTCTTTCTCTAAGGCATCCAAAATACTGCCTTTGTTGAACCCGAGCTGAACAGGTTCACTGCGGAGTGAGTTCTAAACCCTACTAAATAGATGGCTTTGTACCTGAATGAGCTTTTCTATTCTAGCTTCGTCAATTTGATCTTTCGGAGGTTCAACATACGGCTTCAATTCGCCCTCGTCTTCATAGCCGATGTTCATCCACCTGAAAATCGAACAAATTTATCAAGCAGAAAATATCATTCACAATGCCATCTATTAAAGAATAACAGAAAATTTTGAAAAGAAAAGGCAGAAACCTCAAGGTTATATTTCGCACCCAAACCTACCAATCAAAAATTCAAAATCTTGCTCGTATCTAACGATAAGATTACATGATAAGGTAGAAGAAGCGGAATTATCTAGAAAATTGACGGGTACGTAAGGATGCGAACCGACACGAAATTCGCAACGAAGGGATGATCTAGTACGGCGTTCCCACGGCGCTATCGGCGCAGTACGCCCGCCGACCGGCTTACCACTCATCGCACGTCTCTACCCTCTAGCAGGGAGAGCGTTAGAGCCGCAGAATGCAGCACCGATGAAAGTTGCACAAGCGCGGAAACCAAGGAGCAGGAAAGGGTCCATCATCGTGGTTTTTTCGTCATCCCGGCACCAATGAGCACCTTTATCTCTAATCGTACACTCTTGCCATTAGGACAGAACGTATGGCAGTATGGCATTCAACAAAATGGAGTGGGTGAACGGAAGTTTTCGAAGTTTTAGCACCCACAATGAGCAGGCTTTGGCGGGACTCTATACCTCTGCCAGCAAGCCAACTTATTCCGAAGATATTTGTTCACCGTCTTTGACTTTGATCCCTGATAGGTGAGTTCGCACCATTGCTGAGATCGGCATATGTTATGAGATGTTGAAGAGTAGAAATGCACAGGATGAATAAGATGTCACCTGTCTTTCATAATTGTTTCCAGTGTACCTCGACGAGCTGGATTGAGAACAAGGAACTTTTTGAGCAGATTCTCACAGTCCGTAGACATGTAAAACGGAATGCGGTACTTTCCACGCAGTACACGTTCTCGAAGTTCCTAAAGCATTTATCTGTTCAATTTGAACAGAAGCACAGTACATGTATGAGCACAGCTACCGTGAAAAGGTAAAACTTGCTCGAAATGCAGGGATCTGGGAGTAAAATATTCACCTTCAAATTCTGCCCATCGAATGGCAGACTCCCCGACACTAGGGTGTATAGAATGACACCTAGACTCCACACATCAACTTCGGGTCCATCATATTTCTTCCCTTGGAAAAGCTCAGGAGCGGCGTAGGGTGGGGACCCACAGAAGGTGTCCAATTTATTACCTGAGAGCTGTGCATTAGAAAATCCAGAAAAGAGGCTGTATTCAAATGCACTTAATACCTAGAGTGAATTGATTGCTGAAACCAAAATCTGCGATTTTAATATTCATATCGGCGTCTAATAGCAGGTTTTCCGCTTTCAAATCCCTGCAAGTAAGCTGTAAGATGACAACGTTTAAATAAGAAGTTTCGAAAGAGAGAACAGCGTAGTAAGGAAAACAAAACAAAAGTGGTTGTTTTGGGAAAGTATTGATGAAAAGAAGAATACCGGTGTATAATATTCTTCGAATGCAAATACTGCACTGCGGATACTATCTGCCGGAACTTTACTCTCGCTTCCTTTTCCTTCATTCTGCCATGCGCAACCAAATAATCAAATACCTGTAACATCATCATAAATTACTCCACTTCATCTTTCTACTGAAAGAAAACTTCCGGCACTTTTGAGGGCCTTCTCGATTTTAGAAACATTGATAGTTGATTTGAAGACAAAGAATCTGTGTCTTCTCGCAAGTAGTGGAAAATAGAAGAGCCCATTACAACAGTGAACTTCTGCATACCGACCAGTACCACGGTAGCAGGGAAACGTGCCTAATTGCTTTTAAAGCAGACGTGCAAAATACCTTGCTACGGCGAAGATACCTATCAACAACAGATGGTTAAGCAGAACATGAAGGTTCATCGTTAAGCTTCAGACTTCCTCACTGCTGCAACTTATTAGCGCCAAACCTTTAAGTCACAAATCTCAGAAGTTTCCAGTACGAAAGAGTTGTTTCAAATGCTGAGAGGCCAATAAATAGATTAGTTTGCAAGGCAAAAATGTGCAATCGACACATTAGCACAAACAAAAAACTCACCTCGCCACCGGATGCATATTCTAGAACAAGATAGAGCGTTTGTTCATTTTCCATAACTTGATACAACTTAACGATATTGGGATGATCAAGCTGCTTCATTATCTTGACCTCCCGGAATAGCTAAACACATAAAACCATTATAAATTATAGCTATAATGACAGATCATGTTTCATTCCAATTTCCACTACACTGTCCGTCAACTGCTTATGCTACCCCTTGCTTTTTCATTTTTCTGATTTGAGTAGAACTTCATGAATCGGCACAACAACATCGCTTCCGGCGTGTCTGGAAACACTTCTGATTAACGCAGGAATTTGATTCGCGTACTGTGTCAGTTCCCTACGCCATCCCAATGCTTCCTCGGAAATTCTCTTCTATATAACTATGCTCCGGCACACACGTAATAGAAATGAGTAAATAACACATATACAATGCACATAAATGGTGGAGCATCTAAAACTAACTAGTCCGGGATATTAGCCATTACACTGGACGGCAGCAATATTAAAACGCTTCATCTTAGAAATAGCTGTATTTTCTCTTTTGCGGTCGCTCCTGCTGCTTATTACAGGACTCATCGAGGAGTATGTAAAGGCAAAACAAGAAGTTTTGAAATGCTCAAATAGCCTTCAAATTCACGTATGGCGCATCATATCCGTGGTCAACTTCGTTGGTTGTCTCTGGTCTCGCAAAGCTTAAAGCATTCACAATCAAAAGTCTGTTTTGAGAAAATAGGACTTGTGCTCGCCATCCGATTGGTATACGTTGCACAACTCAGCTCGATATTCTCTAGAAAAACTGACATACGGAGTGACCGACAAGGGTGGCATCGGCCATGTAACATGCAGGGGGCCACAGAGATGGTGAAATGGACTATCGGTGCGCTAATTTTCTCATATCCGACCAACATCGATGATGGGTACTAGGCGGGTATTAAGTACGCGCCGTGCTCTCTCTCTATCTGCACAGAGACGTTAGCATGAACGCTTCGAGGTTTGCGAGAGGTGAGACTACAAATAAAGTTGGCCGCGGATCTGATGGCTTAACAGGTGAATTTGAGGGCTACTTGAACACTTCAAATTTCTAGTTTGACCGTGACATAATCTCAATGAGTAATGGTAAGCATCAGGGGCATAAGAGATAACGCAGCCACATGTGTCCCAAAAGTATAAGGAACACTATTTTTCTTCAACATCTCTATAATGCCCTATCATGTACCACCTCATCGCGGTGATGGTGACAGGGTGTAACACCAGCGATAATAAGAGGTGGCTAGCGGTACAAACGGTTGCGCAGTACGCACTACTGTATGGGGCTCTTTTGTATCCCTAGCAAGTAACAATGGAGTAACTAAACCAACCAAATTGCTCAAACAGCTATACTAGAGCCCCAGTCCTGCCCACACCGGATAAGCTCCCCTCCGACGTCGGGGCAGCCTCTGCTGGTGAGAGGTCATCCAATCTCGCAAGGGAACCAGGACGTCATCGGAATCAGAATATAGGAAATCTCCACCACGACACAAAGACTGCCTTTTCGTCTGTTCTTATGACTGTCGCACTATAGCATAGAAAGTGGTCTACGAATACTTTTACTGAGAAGTCGACTGTCAATTATGATGTTATCAGTAGTGCACGAGCTCGACGTTCGATAAATCTTAGCATCGTGTGTGGTCTTTTTGGATATGCTTCTGGAGCCACAAGCCAAGATGCTGCAACAACTTTATTCGGTTAACGTTTCGGCTTGGTCCCATCATCAGAGCTTGGAAAGTCAAAGACCAGTGCGACCTACCGCAGACATCATTTCAAACTTCGAAATAGTCCCCATAGACCCGTAGCCTCCAGGGGGCGGGGGCGCCATAACACAAACACCAGTCAACTCACCTTAGTACGCACGGCAGGATTTTGCTGAAACCAACGCGAGACTGACTCGGTGTGGGTGGCTCCAGATGACCTGGCCCATCGGCATGGAGCCGATGGCGCTCGAAGCCCACAAAGGTCAGCGGAAGGTGCGAGTTTACTGGTTATGGCTAGGCATTCATTTTTCCTGTTAATTTTTGGATTTTTGGCGCACCACATATGATGTTATCGCTCTGCGGGAGACAAAAGGAAGAATGGAAACTATTGAAGAAACTATTAGATCTTTGCCTTTCCAGGCTCATACGAAGGCGACCAAGCCGAAACGTCATCCGAATAAAGCTGTACCATCTTGGCTTGTGGTTCCAGAAGCATATCACAAAAGACCCATATGATGTTATCGCTTTGCAGGAGACAAAATGCAGAATAGAAACTATTAGAAAAACTGACCACAGCGAGCTACTCATCATCAGAGCCGAGGCGGACAACGTGAATGTCCTGAGTGAGTTGGATTCCTCGCCAACTCCACTATCGCTAATTTGGTAGTCTCACAAAATCGTCAGTCCACGCCTTGCAGTTCTACGTCTCCGACCCAGAGGACAGGACATAATATCCACCATCAACGGGTGCGCATCCACCTCTGCGGCCACATATAAAGAACGCGAAGAATTCTATAAACTGTTGGAGCTGACGATCCAAGAAGAGAGAAGCTTCTACAAGTTTGTTGTAAGCGACTTCAATGCCATGATAGGTACGAACTGCGATGGCGATTGGAGGCAAGGGCCTCATGGATCAAACGACAGCAATGAAAATGGAGAACAATTACAGAACTTGCTGCCCTCATGTCGCCTTTTCAACGGGAATCCATGTTCGAAAAACAATTAGACGACGATGGACATGGGAAAGCCCAAATAGGCAGACACGCACGGAAATAGACCACGTCCTTACCAACCGAAGATGGAGCCTATTTGACGTACCCTAGCCTTCAAATGACCAGAAATTGTGCAATTGCAGAAATTGACGTGGCATTAAAGGTGGCACCGATTCAAGCACATCTTCGAGCACACATGATGCCACCTTTTCATAGAGAATTCAGCTACACACGTGGCTAAATTCTCGATGAAAAGGTGACACCAAGTGTGCTCAAAGATGTTCTTGAATTGATGCCACGTTAATGCCACGTCAATTTCTGCAATTGACAATTTCTGGTTTTCTGAAGGCGAGGTTATCTGTGTTGGCATCATTTGAGGCTGGCTTCATCGTCACGTACGCGCAAAGATATGCCTCAATAAGTAAATATTTAAAGGAAGTGATCACGATAATTCTAATGGGGACGATAAGGGAAGCTATGTAGTGCAGTGGATAGAGGTCCTGCCCAATGTTACAACACGTGAAGTTTCAGTGGCAGTGACGCCTTATCAACGCAGTGATAAGGCGCCGAAATTCACTTCCTCAGCAAAACCAAGACTTATGGATGTGGAAAGGGGTGCGATAGGAGCGTGCTAGATATGATGCGGTTATCGTTATCTTCACGTTTCCATTCTAGAGTGCACCTCTTATCAAACAGCCGCACCTTATCTCATCGTATCATATCTTCCATGGACTTACACTCGTCCAACAAATACTGCCTCACACCTTATCGATTGATAACGCGAGGGTAGCAAATCCAGCGTGGAAGCCAGAGTGACACGAATTCTCATAGGGACGATAATGAAAGCCGTACTGGAGTGGATAGGGGTCCTGCCCAATGTTAGAACACGTAAAGTTTCAGTGGCAGTGGCGCCTTATCAACGGAGCGATAAGGCGCCGAAATCCACTTCCGTTCAGCAAAAACCAAGACTTATCGATGTGGAAAGAGGTACGATAAGAGCGTGCTAGATATGATACCCTTATGGCTATCGTCGTTTTCATTCTGGAGTGTACCTCTTACCAAGCAGCCGCACCTTCTTATCTCATCGTATCATATCTTCCATGGACTTACACTCGTCCAACAAATACTGCCTCACACCTTATCGATTGATAATGCGAGTAGCAAATTCTACGTGGAAGCCAGCATGACCGCTTCCTTTAGGCGCGACACGCACAGGTCCGCACCCTTCAGGATCCCTTCGTTCAATACTCGTTCAATACCAATGTACTAGAGTCCGCAGTCGATGCTTACAATTGGAGTCTACCAGATGATCCAACGGAAGACTATGAACATCTTGCCAAAGGATTGCTGAATTGTGCAGAAATCTCTTGACACTCACAAGCAGACTCTATTCCAAGACTGAACGCTCTTGCCATTACGCTCGAACAACGCAAGGCTGTGAAGCAGGATCTCAAAGCCACTCACTTGGAAAAAGTCACTACAACAAAGCATACCACATGGCAGTTAATCCCTTGACAACAACGCGGCTTTGCACGTCGCTGGCTAATGGGAACAGGCGTTCCCTGGCGCGCCCAATCGCGCGCACGTTCAGGAAAATCGTCTGTAAAAGCCATTTTCATATCGAACTTTTGACTTTAGCAACATACCAAATATAGCTGCAGTTTGAGCTTTCATATAATATATTGATGGAAAGAGAATTGGTGGTTTGGGAGGGGAACTCAGATTCAAAGGGAAGAAAGGTAGAAACTCCAAAAGTTTATGTGTACAGTCGAATTTGATTCAGTTCAAGCCCCTCCCTGTGTCTTAAGACTATGAAAAGACGAAGAAGTCTTGATTGATAATCAACGTTCAGCCTAATAACGTTAAATCCAAAATATATGTCGGCGAGCTCAATGTCACTTTCTGAATTTCATATAACTTATTTTGTATTGAAGATTTTTGTAAACCATCCCAACAATAGGTATTATGAAGCTAGCTTTTAATTTATGGTATGTTGAAAATATTTCGAAAGCGTGAATGAGAAAATTGCAAGGTCCCACGCGCCAGACACAGTGGCACCCACAGGTGGGTGCCATTGTCGCCAAAGGGTTAAGGAATCGCTTCGAATATAGAACTGAATTATTGAACAGCGGAAACAAAATCTAGCGTCAAGCGCTGCAAACGTGATTTAAACGATCAAAAGGTGGCCATGCCAGCCCTCATGGACAAAGATGGGTGAACACAAATATCAAGGTCAATGGGAAACATCGTCTATGACTTCAACACTAAACTCTTTCGTTCTTCCACAATTGTCCCAAGATGTTCGATACCGGTTGCGGAAGACCCCCTACTATTCTGGAATCGGAGGCGAATGCGATAAAAGCCATGAGGAAGGGAACTGCCCCAGGTCCGGACATATACCAGCACATTTACTTCGTGTTGGGAATGCTGCCTTACACTCGCAAAACACTTCAACCATTATGCCAAAATAAGGAAGATTTCAGAGCAATAGAAGGGATCTAAAA